GAAGGGTCTGATGTTCTCCTGAAAAGCAGAAAAACTTATTGAACACTATCAATTTTCCCCCATGTTTTACTGAAGACCTGCTACCATGTCCCCAGGACCATACGATATCACGGTGTCATTCTGCAATGCCTTCTACATCTCATTTGCTTAGATTGAAAGCAAAACTCAGCAGAGGAGGGAGATGAATTATGACACAATATTATTTCTGAGACACTCAGTGCAGGATCAGCTGGTGGGATTGGGTCCGATATTTCAACCAAATGGCCATGGGGGTCCTTCCTCCTTTGCTTTAAAAAAGGCCCAAAACACACAGTCAACCAGGCATGGGTTCGAGGCCTGCATTTTAATTGAGCTCCTGCCTTCAAATCTTGCAGCAACTCATTACGGGCCCGATTTCAAGGCTCGCTGAAGCCAAGAGGAGTGTTTTTCTGCTGACATCAGTGGGCTTTGGATCAGGCCTTAAAGAGCAATCGGAGAGAGGGTTGTTGGCCTCAGCTCAGCCTTGGATGCATGGGATGCGAATCATCCTGTTCTTCTCTCTCCGGTTGCTTCTGCTCTTTCCCCAAGCCCTCGATGCCCCATGCAGGTTTTGTGGCACACGTCCCGAGTCCCCGTGCCAAGGACAAATGTCCTTCTGTCCCTTTAGGGGTCTGGCAAAGTTTTACAGGTAGCACACCAGGTTTGGGAGCCTTCACTTCTTTCTGGGAAGCCCAGCTTCAGAGGCTGGGATAGAAATGCCATTTCCAAGGAGGCAGCAAGGCGTTTATTCAACGCTTTCCGAAAAAAGTAAGTTCCTGCACACTATCAAGTTTACACCCCCACCCCACCACAAAAAATCACCTCCAGATTTACCAGTCATCCGAAACCCCATCCCTCCCCACTCAAACCCCCAAGAAGCACAGCATGCCTGGCATATGGGGAAGGCAGAAGAGGAGCACAGCCTAGGGAATCCCCCGGCGTACTTCCTACGGCATCCGACTTTCCCCATCGGCAGATCACCCCTGCACAAGCCTGATGCCATAGCAAGGCTGTAATGCGGAGAGGGCAGGAAGATGGAGGCATTTGGAGACCTCATTTGGCTTTAAAGGGGTACTCTGCTCACATCTAGTCCTGTTCACTAGCTGCTACAACAAGAACGACAGAAAGACCGAAGGGGTAGGGAAGGGAGACTATGGCTGGGTGTGTCCAACTGCTGGATGTCCAGCAAGGGTCTCCGCTTCCCCTGCATAGTGCATGTCCCTCACCTCTCTGTACAAAGCAACTTTGACCCTTCAAAGAGCACCGACAGCCTCTTTTGAGAAATGGCTCAGCTCAGAAAAAGCCTTCCCCAAAGCCAGGTGCTGCCCGACTCACGTCTGGGCTGTCTAGAGGCAATGGGACCCCCGCGGCAGACCCTTGCTGCGACTTGGAGCCCTGCTCACCACGGTCTCTGTGCTCAGGGAGGGAGATCAGCTCCCCCTCCACCTGCCGGGGAGCAGCAAGGTAGCGACACGCAATTCACCCCACCTCGAACAGTTTTCGGGCTCTGGAGCTGCTCCTCCAATCCCGCTGGAGGCCTTGAGGATCGGGCCCCAGGACAGCAACCCCACAGGCAGCCAGGTGCCCCCGAGATGCCACCAGGTCAGACTCCCATCCAGCAGAAGCTCCTGCAGGAAAGTACCCCGAGAGGAGCCACATACAGGTTCCCCAGCGCCATCACTCTGGGTACCAAGATGGGCTGGGCTACGATCCCCTTCCTCGGGGCACTGGCAGCATACTTGTCCCTCCTGCCATCTCCCTCGGGTTCACTTTTATGAGGTGTGATGGGTGGGAAGGGATAGAGCAGCTGCTTGTGAACTCACCAGCCCAGGACATCCCTCCCAGTGCCGTGTCCGTATGACCCAGAGCTCCTTCCACAGCTCAGAGCCCCAGGGACAAGCAGTAGGTAGCAGCCTCCAACATCAATCCAGGTGCATTTGTCTCCACTAAGGTTTCACTTCCCTGAACAAAAGATGCTCTTAAGAGTTGGCTTCTTGCATACAAATCCTCTTCACTGGGCCTGGCTCCTGGACAGCCTGCTCCCCACCCTGGGCTTACCCTATCTTCCATCCTCTCCTTGTCATACTATGGCATGCACGGTCTGTGCTAATGGTTACAGCCAAGTCACAAGCCTGAAGAGCAGGGCTGAGAGGTAGCATCAGGGACCAAGCCAAGAGAGAATCAGAAGCCAGAAAATGAAGGCCAGGTTGGAAGTCAGCAAACAGGGACTGAGGGCGAAGCGGCGGGGGCAGAGACCAGCTACAGCTGCAACCCAGCCGGCAATCAGGCCCAGCTGCACACAATCAGGAATCAAGCCGCAATCCTGGTACAAGCCCTTCCCCTGAAGGTGCCCTGCAAAAAGCCACACTCTACCAAGGGGTCTCAGGAAGTAGGGGGCTGGCCCGTTGGAAAGGGACTCTCTCTGTCCTCACCTGCAGCTCCACAGGCACGTGGCCTGGCCCCCAGTTCTCACACGGGAGCTGAGACCGGGCTGTAATCACGGGCAGATGTTACAGGTTAAGGTCTGTCCTGCCATGCCACTGTGCAGCTCCACCAACAATGCAGTCCTGGATATGCAGCAGGGAAGCCCCTTCCTGGGAATAGCCGGGGTAGCGCTCAGAGCCCCTGGAGCTAGAAGAGGGTCTTTGCGAATCACCTGCAGGATAGAGCCCAGGACACACACTACTTTCACCTGCTAGGGGCAGCAGTGCCCCGACCCACCCTCACCAACTGGATTATTGTACGGTGATTTTTCTCCTTCCAGTGTCCCTGAACCTTGCCGAGCGCCGAGAGGCTGTTTATTCCATAGCAATTCCCTGAGGTGGCTCTAAATCTGCATCTGCCTTTGCACAGCTTGGGGAGCATGCTGGTGAATGTACAGGGCCTGGCGCGGTGCGGGAGCCACAGAGACCCCCGGGTCCCGTTTCACTCACGTGGACAACAAGACTGAAGTCCTGCACAAGGAATTACCCCGGTGAAAGGGCCTTGCGACACTAACCTCCCTTTTTAATGGAAGTCTCCTCTAGTATAAAGGAAATTAATTCTGCATGGGAGCTGGACTCGGGCGACCTTGCTTTGCGCTGTCTATGGGTGCTTGCAATCAAGCAGCTGCAGAAATGCCACCATACACACGAACCTCTCCTCTGGGAGAGGAAGGACTCTCCACGCGTGACAAGAGATTACTCCCACGGCTTAACAAGCTACTGGAAGGTGCTTGGACACTAGCAGCACGATGCACATAGACAGAAAGGACTGGGCATCACATGGACGCTGGATGGAGTCCATCACCATTTATTCATTCTTTTGTGCCATCGTCCACCCGGTGATCTCAAAGCACCACGCATCACCGCCCGCCCCTGAGCACTGATCAAAGGCCCCTGGCAGGATGGCTGCCTGCAGAGACTTGTGAAATGCAAATCATTAATCCAGAACAGCAGCCAAGTCTCATCACACAGGTAAGAGGTGGGGAAATACCATGCTGCGGGGTGGAGGGGAGAATTCGGGTTGAGAAAAGCTCTGCGACTTTCCCCAGATTATTCTGGCTCAGCACCAGCGCTAGGAGCAGACCCCAGGAGTCCTGATTCAGACACTTGTGCCACTTACCCTCACTTTAAATAACTACGCGGCTGTCAGACTCCCCACATCAAAACCTGCTGGCAGCTACAGAGCAATCCCATTCAAGCTCTGGGTTGCCATTCACGTCTAACAGGCCGGGGGGAGGAAAGGGGGAAAGGCAGCCTGCAAGCGTGATGCCACCGTGGGAAACACTCCCCCGGCATCTAAAAGATGCCTCCTTCCAGGATCTCTGGCCACCTCTGATCACGTCCCAGCATCTCCCAGTCCCCGGCTCATGCGCTGCTGACCTGGGCACCCCGGCAAGGGCTCGGTCAGCGCCGACATCACGGGGAGAGCCAGGGGCCGCGGAAAAGCAAGAGCAGGCGGCTCCTGGACGTGTCTCTCTCTGCTGCACTGCAGTAAAGCTCCTGCCCCGCTCTCTCCTGGGGAGCCAAGGGGAAGCTGCTCGGATTGGAAACCAAGCCAACCCCTCATCGCAGCCCCCTAAGCCCCCAGCCCCAAACGCAGGAGGCACCCAGGAATTCAGAGCAACAACTTACTTCCCCATAAGGAACAGGGCTGGATCCTGCCCGGACTTTGGGGGTGCTACCCCGACTTACACTGACAGTGGATGTGGCGGTCAGCGCACATGCACGCTGCATGCGTGTGCGTGTTTACACGCTCGATCCAGTTGGCAGCAGGCAGTGCATTAAAAATACCCACAAAAAACCAAACCCCAGGAGGCCCGGTTCCCTGCTCATTTGCCGTGCAAAGCGCCCTGGGCTTTACGATCCTCCCTGTGCAACATCCTAGTCCGGTTTCCTCCGTGCCTTCCCCGATGACAGCCCTGCTCGTCTCGCGCCGGAGCCAGAGCGCGCACGGAGAGCGCCGCCACTGAAGCGATCCACAGTGCGGGAGAAGCAGATGACATAATTCACAGCGATCGCATGTTAATCGCCCCGACACCCGCAGCTCGCTGGCTGGATCACACCCCACTCGTGACATCACCGCAAAAAGCCCCCGACACCGCCGGCCCCGGACGAGCGGGCTCGGGCCTACTCGACCCTGCACTTTGGCCGTTTCCCGCTGGACTTGGCAGGGTCAGAACGAGATGCGGGGCTGGAGGCATAAAGCAAAGCCGAGATCGTGGCTCTGATCCCCTGTCCCTGCCCCCAGATCTTCCAGCCTCTTCCCAAAACCATCTGATGCTTCGAGAGCAGCACTGCAGAAATCACGTCTCCCTAAAGCCATCCGTCCCCCTGCACCCACCCACCCACCCACCCACCCCGATGCCAGGATGCACCAGGTATCACCGTAATGCAACCTTCCCGCTCTGCGCCAGCGGCGACACGCGTGTCCCCAGGCCACCCTGCAACCACGCGTGCCCTCCAGCCTGGGGGACCAGCGCGAGCCCCCCGCAGCCTTACTCTTGGCAGGAACGCGGTGCTGCCTTCTGGATCCGGCCTGCCGATGCACAAATCCCCCCCTTGGCACAACGCGGAGTCCTAGACATAGAGGAAAGGGAGGAGGATCAGAGGCGTGGAGCTCGCTGCGGCCGCCGTGGTGCCGAGGCTGCCAGCTCCTTGCAGTCTGAGGGGTCTCATCTCATCTCATCATGTGTCACCACCACGCACCCGCACTCACAGCCACATTTCCCCCCTTCTTGCGGCAAAGAGCAGCCAGCCCCAGTCCCACCCCCTGTCAGTGCAGCAGCCTAACAGCAGCCAGGGGAAGGCAGAGAGGGTGGATCTCAGCTCCTTCCCTTTAACTCTTCCTTCCCCAGCTAGCCCGGTCCCTCTGACCGTGCTTGTCCGGCTGCTCAGCCAAATCCTGCGCCTCTGGCCCTGGCGTTGCTTGGCAGTGGGTCCTGTTGAAGCTTCCTAGGGGCGCTTCCCCGGACAGAAAGAGCAGGAGTCGACCGGCAAGCTCCTGAGAGAGAGGCCGGCCGTCGGCTCCATTCCCTGCTCCGCCACTGCTTGCCCGGGTGACCTTGGGCAAGTCACTTAAGGGCTTATGTTCCCAATAAGTGCCTGGAGATGCAGTCAGGGGCCAAAGGGGGCTTCTGCTGATACCAATAGATGCCAGGGACTAAGCATTTCCTAATGCACCGCCCCCCAGGTGTGTCTTTGTATGTTTAGCCTCACACACAAAGGTAGAAGATCTGACCCCTAGTTTCTCAGCGACTTATTTCTCCAGTGAAGATAGACCCGGTCTCATTGTGGAGATGTGCAGGGAGTCTTACAGGGCACGTACGCAGACGGGCATCGCTGCCTGCCCAAACCCATGCTATGTTTGGCAGGCCCTGAGAACAGCGGGGCCATTTTTCAGACAAATCCGCTTGAGGGGAGTGCCGCCGACTAGCACGGATTAGCACAGAGGATTGCTTTCCAGGGCACTGTACCTGTGGGAATGGAGCGGGAGATGCATGGTGCCTACGGCTACATTGCAGGTGCTCCAAAGCTGCTTTGCTGAGACATTAGGGGCCCAATTCTCTTCTACCTATTGGGCATCGAAGTGGACGTAGGCCCCCGAGTGTGATTCTATTACCCCCTGTTCGAGTCCCTGCAAAACCAGTGAATGCATCTGCGTTCAAACCACGTGCTCTTACCCTTAAGATTAAGTCTCAAAAAAGCAGTGAGGAGGAGGAGAGCCTCTCCCCCCCGCCCAGCCCCAAACAGCTTGCATTAACTAAACAGGATCCAGCCTTAGCATGGTACATACATTTATGTTGGCTTTCTCTACAGGGATGCGTCTCATCCTCTGACGTGAGGTTGGTGTCTCAGCCAAGTCAGAGTGGATTTTCCCCGAGCCCCTGCAAGGAACGCTGCCAGAGGAACAGGCCCATGCCAAGTGTAATGCTTTCTCCCTCTGACGTACTAATGCTGCTAAAAAAAGGTCAACAATTATGTCACGTCGGCACAAGTGGCTCTTTTGACGTGATGCTCAAAAAGAGCTGAATTGTTATTATTAAAACATCTCTGGGCAGGGACCCAACCTGGCCTGTTTGGGCTGATGTGGAAAGCAGCATCTGATAAAAGGGGCTTTAGCATGGGAACTCACAGGCAGCCTTAGTAAGAGGTGCAGCTCCCCGGTCCACGCCAAGTGGGGGTTGATGCTGTTTTGTTGTATATCACAGGAAAATTCAGGTTAGATATTAGGAAAAACTTTTTCCACTAGGAGGGTAGTAAAGCACTGGAAAAGACTACCCAGAGAGGTGATGGACGCTTCATTTTTGGAGGTTTTGAAGACCCGGCTAGACAAAGCCTTGCTGGGATGATGCAGTTGGGGCTGGTCCTGCTTGGAGCAAGAGGTTGGACTAGATGTGATCTCCTGAGGTCCCTTCCAACCCGAATTTGATTCTCTCAGTCCGCACACAAGGATTTGTGGGACAACTGTGGTATGTTGGGAGCTTCGCAAGCCGTTGTTTCAAATTGGTTTTTGCTGAGTTCTGCCCTTTCTTTCAGTGAATGCAAGCTCATTTCATGATGAAGAATATGGCTAGAGAGGTTCAGATAAGTCCTCTTTACAGATGGCCATAATACTCAGGCCTTATTTGGCACCATTCACCATTGACTTTGAAGAACTGGGTATTACCCTCGTTGCACAGAAGCAGAACTCCGTTCTTCCAAGCCCACCCCTCTGGACCACTGATCCACCTCCCCCTCTGCGGGTGGATCACAGCCACTCCCTTATAGTCAGATGAGAGTCATCACACGATATAATGGCATCTTCTGGCCCTTAAAATATGGTGGGGAGGAAACAGGTGAATCCAGGCAGCAGGACTGCACAATGGGTTTAGATAGGACAGTGAACATCGCCACGTCCAATTCACTCCACTGGTCCTCCCCAAGAGCTCGGCCACAGCTTTCAGGCAGACGTTACAACTTTTTGGAGGCCCCAAAAGCTAGATCGGTCTGTTTGTGAGCAGACACAGCAGCAAACTGCCTTCTTTCACATTGCCCCCTTGCTTGAAGTGGGGACAGCGGGCTCCTGGTAGCGGCAGGGGTCCCATCTCCAACCCAGCCTGCTCAGCCACCAGCTCTGCCTGCTACTTTCTTAGCCCATCTCCCCCCTGTCAAGCCCCTTTGCTTAATAGCAGATGTGTCCTACTCATATCATAGTCCGCCAGGGTCATCTAGTCCAACCCCTGCAGGGATGCAGGAGGCACCATTCCTGAAAGGTGGAGGAGCTAGTCCCCAGAAAGCAATGCAGGAGTTAAGGTTTCAAGCAATTTTAGCCAGGGGAAAAGGCATGAGAGAGGAGAGAGAAGAGGGAGCGAGAGTCACCTGTCATACGCCAGCAAGGGAAATGATATGTTGGTCATTTTAATTCCAACTCTGCTGTACAGGACCAGGCGCCTGCGGTCCGTGAGGCTGTCTCGTCCAGCTCACGGATCTCCTCACAGGTCCAGAGATCTGGAGGTGGGGGAGCGATGGCAGTGGGAAATTGCCACTTCCCCACTGTCAAATTTCCTGACCCAAGGGGAGTGCTGTGGGCTGGATAATGTGACCCTGTGTGGTAGACCCTGCTGGCGTGTGGGGTCACCCCGCAGCTGGATCGGGTGCATGCCGTCAGGCCACGCCAGATCTGGTGCACAGGGCTGGACAGCCCCATGCTGGATCCAACCCGGCATGATGACTCCATGCTGGATCAGGCTTGCACAGGATCTGGATCATGGATCAGCCCTGCGCTGCTCATCTGGCCCATGGGGCTGGACATTTGAGCACCACTGCTTGAGACCAAACCAGCTCCCCGAGAGCTCTGCTCATCAATGTAGAGTCCATCCTGTGGCTTCCCTGGGAGCTAAGGGTGCTCAGCACTGCTATTGGAGACTCTCGGTACCAGGTAGGACCAGACTCCCATCACATCTCACAGCAGACAATGCTCAAGAACAAGAGTTCACACTCCAAGTGACTGCTGAGTGTGAACAGGTGTGTTCAGACAGCTATGCATAACCTGGGAAGGCTGATTTATGTGGTCATTTATTTGCAACGTGCACGCAGAGCGAGTACAATCTTTGCCTACGGACAGGTGCATGCTGCATGGGTTAGCTAAGCGCCACGTGCTCTCCCCCACCAAATCCACCCATAACTCTTGGGTTCATCCTATGGCTTTGGATTGGTGTGCTCTGGTGCCTTTGTAAAGAGGACCAACTTCTCCTTTGCACCTCTGCTCAGCACGAGACTCGGCCTACCTCTGTTCTACATGGCATGGAGATCCCCAGAGCCCGTGATGATGGACCAGTGGGTCACGTGGCACGTGACATCAAACCTAAGGTCCCTTCATTGTGCCTGAGCATAGTAAAGGGATTACAGCGCTGTGGCTGCACGAACTGGGCAGATGCAGCTATGGGGGCAAGCCCCTAGTGGAGACGCAATATGTTCTGGCCAACGGGGTGTTTCTACTGGCATAATTATCCTGCCTCCCCAATCTGCCTTCACACAAGCTGGCAGACGGTTTCCGCTGTTAGCACAGCGGTTTTGCTAGCAGAGCTGTGCCAGCTAAGGGTGGTGATCTTTGCACAGAAGCGGGAATGAGAACCAGGACCTCGAGACCGGCATCGCTCTGAGCAACTCCGGCTTTGCACTGCTGTCACTGGGCTCAGCAGTGGTTTCGGGGCTTTGAGGCTAATCAGGCCTTTGTAAGGTTAGCTGGCCTGTGATAAATGGCTTCCAGCCACTTTGCTTCAGACACAGGATGCTCCCCTGGCCTGCAGCACGACGGCTGCTGCACGCTTCAGCCCGAGCTGCAGCCTGTTGCTCTTCTCGCCGGCCTCGCAAGCCTCCTCGGTGGACTTCCCTTGCTGTTATTTGTTTCATGTTTTGTGAGCTGGGTTGTGGTTATCACGCTCCGTGCGTCAGATCTTAGCAAGTCCCCATGAGAAGCTGCCAGCTTTAACATATGCCCCAACAGTTCCTTTCAGACATATACAAACTGGAACAAAGCCTCGCCGAGAATATGCTGGTGGATGCAGTTTGCCAAATGAGGTTTCAGATCTGCTCTTTTCAGCAAGCACCAGCTATTTGTAGACGGTGCAAAAATCTTCCCTGGGACTTCCTTGGTCGTTTAAGAGCTGAGCTCAAACCAAGCCCCTCTCCAAGCTTTAAATCATTCAGACCTTTTTTCTTTTGCGCTGCTTTGCCTCCCGTGTCTGTGGCTGGATCTGGAACGAGATGCTGTGACCACCATGAGCTGCGCTATCTGCACGTAACCAGGAGAGAAGTTCTCCAATGAGCTAAAACTGGTGCTGGCGTCTGGGTGAACCCTTCTCATCTTCCAGGTTCAACCACGGCTCCAGCCACCACCTCTATCTGTGCTCTTGTTTCTCATCACTCACTTTTCCCTTGTGTCACCTCTTCCCATTTGATAAAGAGGAGGGCGAGGCCGAACAAGGATCTCCGGAGAATCCCGACTGAGAAAACGGGCAGCAAACGTATGCCCCCCTGACATAGCCATCTCTGTGCGACTCCCAGGGCAGCCGGATGCAGGCCCAAACTTCGCTGGTCTTTGGGACTGCAATGTGGAGGCACGGGCATCATCTCTGCCCTCTGTGAATGGCATTAGCTCTACTGCTGGCTCCAAATTGAGGATTGCTGCAAGATGCGAAGGGGTGTTGGAGGCTCCCTCAACCCAACAGCCTGGGATGCTTCATTCTTCTTCCCGGCTCGGACAAGAGAACTGTTCCCTGGATTCGCTGGCACCGTT